CTATCCCAGGTATTATTCCACCTGAAATTCAAGCAGGTAAATTAATATATAACGAAGCAAGTCATCACTGTATTTGCATGCGACATGTTATTTTAACATTTCATGCCAGCGATATTTACACCTGCCACCCAGCGACTCCCGCCAGGCGGTGGCTTTAGCACGGCTGTGCGCTTTCACGCGGCGAACTCGCGCTTTGTTCTTTGTTAATTGCCGTTCGCACATACTGCCGTATTTATTTTGTTCTCTTTTAGCTACTCTGCGGCCAGCTATTTCTACAACATGTATTCAGGTACTTTTCTATTTTATCAATACATCAATATGTACCCTGCGTTGGTACAAACCTGACTGAATGGAACTGTCATACCCCCCCCCCCCTTATCTTCTGTACCCCTTCCCTTGATTACCAATACAAACACAAAACCGATAAATAAAGAATGATTTAAAAAAAAAAAAGGTATATTGCCACAACCACTCAGAACAAAGCGGACTCCATTTTGCTATCTTCAGGATAACAAAAACACATAATTTCCTTGATTTCTTCTTACTTCTGTAACTAGCCACTTGCTTGAGCTGAGGAATGTATTATATAAACAAACCAAGATAAGCAATGAAGCAAGGGGGATGGAACGCTCTGTCTAAAATGTAAATGGAATAGATGCATTATCTAAACACAGACACTAGTGACAGAGAAGACTAAGTAATTCATTTTAATTTCTACATTTTACAAGGTACCATTATAGTAAGGGGTGAAATTGAGTTTAGAACTGTCAATTTTACAAGTTACGACCAAAGTAGTTGCCACAAAGACTGGAACAAACGCTTTGAACTGACAGCAAATCTAAGTTATGGTAGTCATTTTAGATAAGGCAAATGATGTCAAAATCGTCATCAGGAAAAGTTAACTCATTCCTGGATAAGAAGGTTTCGTTAGACAAGACTGCCATCTATGGATCAAATACCTAAATTGCGATCCATCGATTGGACACACCTACGGCTGCCTATTGGTTTATCAACTAATGACGTACAGAGAGTCTGGCCCTTTAAAAGTTAGGACAAAAGGAAGACAAGGTGGTTGGAGACAGAGAGATGAATTGAAGTTTGGGGAACTCCAACTCGGACATGCAGAGAAATCCAGGACAATATCTGGGACTAACACTCTACCATTAAACTCTCTTGGACATAAACTCTTTAATACTTTTTATATCACTCATGAACCTCCATACAACCAATCAAGTTTCTGGGACTACCTACTCATCTGATGAGAATATCTACATAACTGGTAATTATGCTGGTTTCATTTAATTTTAATTAATTAAAAATTACTAATAGCATGATATATGACTGGATAAATCACAGTCAGATTTCCATATTAGAAATTTTAGTTAACTAAAGAATATATAGTTATAAACATTCCATTCTGCAGTGGAATTAAGAATAATTATCTATTAATGTGATAGTATCACGTGTTAGCATACCGCTGTTTTTATCCAGGTGTATTGATTTGCTCTAAAATAAGATAAGATATCTTTTTAGACAAATTAAAATTCTGCTTTTGTAAAAATCTGGTAGATTATTCTTATTGGATGGTTCCAAATGATTAATGAGGTGGTTCAAATGTTATTTTAATTAAAAATCACAGGAGAATAGGATACTATATGCCTAGAAGGATCTAGCCAGCATTGAAAGGGTTATTCAGTTGATCTGTTAGCCAGGGTTTTATGGCTCTTTGCTGTGAAAAGCTTCACTTTTTGTCTGTAAGGATACCCTCATAAATCATGTAAGTCTTGACAGAAAATGCTGTTTAGCCATTGAAACGTGTTTAGCCATTCCATTGTATTGCATACTATATCATACTAAATACTAGCTGATTATTGTCACGCATGTTACATATTAGTTAATTTGTTACAATAAAAATAAATCTATTTTTATAACAAATTGTGAATTAGTGATGGAATACTTTTCACTTATTTGATAACGATCTCTAAGATCTAAGAGAATTGAAATAGTGGGCAATTCTCGATTGCTTAAAATTATCATCCCATAAATATCCCCACAGGTATTCTTTTAACACTCAAAACTGTACTTCTGGGGTCATCTTCAGGAAGATGGCTCTCTGAGCATGGTTGTCATAGCAAACTAATCAATGTGGAGACCAGGGGCCTACAAAAGGTGAAAGTAGCAGTGCTTTCCATTCCCTAGTATTACCCCATTTTGCCGTAACTAAATAAATTAAGCAGTCTTTACTTTTATGGCCTTATTTTCCCACCTGTTTTTGGCTTGTATTTTACCCAGTTGTACTGCTGCCATGAAGAGAGTAAATGTATACCTCCCAATATTTTCCTTCTCGGATTATATGGCTGCAATACAAATTGTGTATAGTGATAATTTCAAGTATAAGACAAATGAAAATTCAGCAGAAGAATCTTTTGTATGGTATTCAGACAGTTACTCAGAAGATACTTTTTTTGTTTCTACTCCTGTGCACATTTCATGAGATAATGCAGGGCTCAGCTCAGAAAGCTACTTAACTTGGACTTGATGGGCACAGGTCCTCATGGATAGTGTCATAACTGTGCCCCGGTAAGCAGTCAAACCATTAGAAAATTGCTTGTATTTTGTTCTGTGGGTACTCTCCAGATTTTCTTACCTGGTTCACTTCCAGACCATTTTCTCTCTCCTCAGTTCGTGTCCAACTTGCCTCTTATTTTTGTCTTTGTGTATTACATTTATAATCAATGTTTATTCGATCTTTAGTTGTGTGTTGTTGACTTACTCTAATTGCATATTGTGAATATGTAGTAGTCTGTTGATTATATTTATACTTGTTTTGCCATTAAGATTTTTTTTATTGTGCTTTTTGAAAACCAAAGCATGAGTTGGAAAGCTGGTGAGATATGTTGAGCGTCATGCAACCAGGTAGTTTCTGTTGGCCTTTGGCACCAAGCTCTGAGATCACATGGCATGCGCACAGAGAGTTTTCACAATCTGCAGTGAAAAGTACTACCTATGCATGCATAGTACATAGGGAGATGTCTAGCCAAGCCAAACACCACTGCAAGTGTGGATTCCATGAACCAAACCCTAATCTGTAAGCCAAGAAGGCAAAACGTGGCCCACCAAGGAAGCCTGTAGTACCATCACCTCACTCCTAGAATGAGCCTACCTATTCCACTAAAGAAATGCAGAAAAATTGGACATTTTGTGGTGTCAGATGGTTAAAAAACAAAGCAAAAACTTACATTTTTTTTTTTTTACTTTTGACGTTAGAATAAAAGTTATATTTTAAACAGAGCCTGGGAGTGCGGACCATCTTTTGAATTTCCTGTATACATATGACCTGGATCCACCACCCAGCATATAAGCTAAGCTGCTATTGAAGCCTGCAGTGCAAGAAACTTTGAGAGAGATATATATGTATGTCAAAAAGTGTCCTGATGAAAGCTCCGTAATGGAGCAGAAACGTTGATCTTATCGTGTGGAATAAAGAATACTTTCTTGCAAAGCCCAGGAATGCTGATATAGAGATATATATCTCAACTAGGGGGAATTTTTTTTATTTTTAAATACCCAGTAATTTCCTAGAAAATCTATTACTTTATATACTACCACAACCTGGAAAACAGGTTAGTTACACAGCTAGAATCTGGCTAATTGCTCAGACCTAAATAAATGATCTGTTAAACTCTAGTGCACATCAAATGCTTTTCATTAATGCCCTATTTTCAATTAGTCACAGAACAGGACAAGTTCGGGGCCTTAATATTTAGATTCCAAATGTGTGCGCATATATACTATGCAGATTCAACTCCCCAAGTTAGAGGGTTAGGAAAAAGGTCAGTTTTTCTGGTTTTGGTTTTCCGTATGTAGCACGTCTTATAATAATTACACCCCCACAGTGTGCTGGATATCAATACCTGGCTACACCCATTTTGATCTTCTCTGCCCATTATAGCTGCTATTTGCTTTTCCATGGGTTAGATTTTGCTAACGGATTGTAAGCAAGTTTGATTGGCAACTGAAACAGAACCTAAGCGCCAATCAAAATCAATAAATAATAAATCAATAAAATTTGAAGACGTGTGACCTCAACCACAGGCAAAAGCCACTCCAGAACCCCCTTTCCTTGTGCTCAGGATTAACTTGTACTCCCATCTGGATGCTGGCACCCGGGAGAGCCAAGAAGGTAGTCAGCCTTCCTTAAACTTGTGACCATATAGGAAATATGCAGTCAACCCTTTACCAGAGTGCTGATTGAAAACCATCCACTCAGGGCACTTTTTGGCCTGGAGCTAGCAAGCATGACTAGCAGTCCAGGAACACTGGTTGTTTGAGTGCTAGCTTTGGGTCTTGATTTACCGTGTCAGGAAAGGACTCGGCAAGAGGTGGACTCTTAGCACTAGGTCTCGATTAGTGTATGGGGCAGTGGGCTATACTCACTGCTATAAAGGACTACTCTTATATTGAAACAAAGAAGACCATACTCTGGTCCCGAGCTCCTTGATATTATACATAAGTGTGTGTGTAAAATTGCAACCAGGTTTGGGCTTGTAATGCCATGTCCACCAACTACAAGTCACAGACTGCAGAGCTTGAGTCTCTCTCTCCCCCAAATAGCCTTAAGTCATCCATTACAGAGGATCCCTCTTCAATAACTACAAGTCAAAGACTGCAGAGAATCCCCCCCCATAGTCCCACACTGGATCCTCTCCCCAATAGTCACACACTGCAGAATCCCCCCTCCCCCCCATAGTCACACACCGCAGAAGATCCTCCCCCTGCCCCACAGCACCAAACATCTAAGGATCCCTCTCCAACAGGCAGAAGTCACACACGGCAGACTCCTCCCCCCCAGCCCAACAGTCACAAGTCACACACTACAGTCGGAGACGCCCCCCACCTACACACACCCAGGACAATGTCATCTGAGTAAAAGCAACACATTTAGACATATGGAAATCCACAGGCCAGCATGAGATCCTTCAGGTACAGTATTAAACATGCTCCAGTAAGAGACTTGTGAAAAGTTAGCACACATTTTACCGAACACTTTATTTTCATGAAAGAGAATTACAAGGACTTGTGTAGAAAGATCAAGATCCAAAGACTCAGGGCTCTATGTGCTGAGACGTGAGACTGCAGATCCAGAGACCCCTGACATGCCAACAGATCCAGGGGCCTGCAGCTTTCTAATACTACAGGGCCCAACATCCCAAAATACCTGCAACTCCCTATCTGGCACAGACCACCAGAAAGCCCCTCTAAAAATCAGATTTTAGGCTTGCT